GGGGGCCGGGCAGGCGGCGGCGGCGGCGGCGGCGCGGGCGGGAAGCGGCGGGGGCAGCGGGGCCGCCCCGCCTCCCTTCGGCGCTCCTGCGGCGGCCGGCGCAGGACAATGGAAGAGGCGGCAGTGGCAGCGGCGGCAGCGGCAGCGGCGGCGGCGGCGGGGGGCCCCTGCCCGGCGGATCGGCCGGGGGCAGCGGTGGCGCTGAGCGGGGAGAACGAGGCCGAGAGCCGGCAGGGCCCGGCGGAGCGCGGCGGGGACGCGGCCCCGCTCAACCTGTTGGACACTTGCGGCGTGTGCGGGCAGCCCATCCAGAGCCGGCGGCCCAAGCTGCTGCCCTGCCTGCACTCGGTGTGCCAGCGCTGCCTGCCGAAGCCCGAGCGGTACCTCATGCTGCCCCCCGTCCTGGCGCCCGCGGCCGCCGCCGCCCCCAAGGAGCCGTTGCCGGCGGTGCCCCCTTCCTCACCCGTCCCTCCTCCGGCCTCCCCCCTGCACTGCACGCCCGGTAAGTGCCCCTTCTGCCGCCCGCCCCTTCCCCCGCCTGCTGCCCTCTCCACCCCGCCCCACGGAGGCCTGTGTGTCGCGATAAGCGCGGGGGAGCGGGGAGCTGTCGCGACTGGGTGCGGTGGGTGGGGTGCAGATGCCCGGCCGCCGGACTGCCGGGGCACGGAGCTGTCGGGACGGGCTGTGCGCGCTGCTCGCCAGCGCCAGGGCTGGCGGCGGCGTTGTGCTCTGGCTTGGTTTGTTTTAATCGTTATTTTTAAATTTCCCACCTCGGAGGGAAGGCAGCACTGTTGTACTTTCCCAGGACCTCTCTGTGCGGATGGAGAGGAGCGGTGAGAGCCGCCCCCCCCCCGCTCCCCCCGCCGGGCCGGGGGTGCGGGGCCGGGGCCGGGCAGCTCTTCTCGAGGGAGCCGGGGGGCTCTGGTCCCTTGCTGGCGGAAAACCTGGACACGGGCTGATACCAAGGCAGAAAAACGTAGCGAGAAAACAGACTTTATTTGAGTGGTGTTTGCAGTGTGGAGCGCGGCCGGAGGGGAGTCCTGCAGGTGTCATCCGCTCAGCCGGGAGCGACCCTGCGCCTGGGCGGGGACCGGGGCAGACAAGCGATAATAACACTTGGGCGCGTGATCGGCAGCCCGGATGGGTCTGCTGGTGCATTAATGTACAGCTTAGTTGTTAATTGTCGCGCCGAAGGGAGGATGCTGCGAGGAAGTTTTGTTAAGCTCATGTACTGACCCAGGAGCCTGTGTCAATGTGTTTGAAAAGTACATCTTGCTGTAGAAGATCTGCAATAAATTCCTCCAGTCTGAAAGTACCTTCCTAATGTTTTTCTTTTTTTTTTTTTCCTGGTCCTCTTAGGTGTAGTGGATCACTTAGTTTTGTTAGAGGCATCTAACAAAATCTTCACCTTAGAAAAAGGTGCAAACAAGCATCCTTTACTGGAAACAGGTTAAGATCTTGTTATGATCAGATTAGTGAGATATGCCTGTGCCCGAATTACAGTGCAAAGGAGACCATATGACCAAGTCAATAATACAGCTTTTATTTAACAGTAAATGTGAGGTAGAGAGATAGAAAGAAATAGAAAAGAGGGGGTGGGGAGAGAGAGAGGTCAAGCAGAAGATAGTAGCCTGTGGATCCAGCAGCATGCTGTTGGTTCTTCTTCACCCTGGCTGCTTGGTGGTGGGGGTCCTGGAGTTGTTCTTCTGGGGGTACCACCTTTATACAGTCCAGGTTCCAGGTATCCATGGGGTGGTCACAGATGCTGTTCCCATAATTTGGGGTGGGAGTTGAGCAGTTGCTTCCTTTCCCATAGTCCCCTACAGTGGGAATTTTTGTCCAGATATGTTAACCAGGATGTGCTAACCAGATCTCTCCTCAGCTAGGCTTGGAATAACTGCCTTCCTGTCATAATTTCTCCCTTCTGTGCTTATCTCAAATTCTCTTATGGCAAGTTCCTTCTGTGGCCTTGACAGTGTTTGAGACAGACAACTGTACTTTTTAAGTCCCTACAGATCTTGGAGAAACTTGAATAGAAAAGAAGTGTGATGAAATTGGACTGCTCTGTAGGTATTAGTGGAGGTTGTGCTTATTGGAATGTGTAGTGGGGGCTCAAGTGAAAAGTAGTAACTCCAACTGACCATTTTTAAGTCCTTTAGGTGCATTTAGGAAAACTTCACCATCCCGCCAGCAGTTCTGACCAAAAGATTACAGCTTGAATATGCAAAGTGTTTGCAGCGGTTCATAAAGGAACGCCTTCTTGAGGGAAAGGAATATTTGGGACAATTGGAGAGACTTGTTTCAGAATATCTGAGAAACTCCTGAGTATGTTATTAACAGGATATGTTGAGCCTCTTCATCTGTATGGATGTCTGTGGTAGTATATCCAGTCAGTCTTTCAGTTTAGCATGTAGTGTATGTAGTAGTCAGACTGCCTGGTCAGAATTTACAGAATAGGAAAATCTGAGAGACCCAAAGCCCATGTACTTCAGCTTGGTTGATTGAGGGGATGTTATTACTCGTAAGCCTATGAGTAGAACTCTGAAATTCTACATGCAGGAACAGACAAAGTACAAGCTTTGGTGTATAATGAGGTATTTCAAGACAAGATACTTGGAAATAGGAAAGAGGGCAGAGATACAGCAAGCCCAGAGGTTGCAGCATAGTTCGAGAGACAATATCATCATCTTCTGAGTTTTGAGGTCATGAACAGCATAATCCCATTCTCAGATGTTCTGTTTAAATATAGCAGAAATTGGGGTCTGTAATTG